AGCTTGTCCCTTCGCCAAAATTACGAACATGCGAAGTGGACGTACCTTCAAAATCAGGCACCCCCCGTAAAAAGGGGGAACATCCTCAAACTGTGTAATAACTGTAGGTGCCTGCGTAACCTGCTTCAACTCTAAATGCAAATACACATAGGAGAAAGCAGGATACACATAGGAGAAAGCAGGAAAATAATATATCCACTCAAAGGCACTATCAGTATTCATGTTTCCGATATTCCACGAACCATCGGGTCGATTTGTCAGTAAACTAATCCCCTCAATTGTCAAACCATTTCGACGGAAACCAAAATTTTCATAAAGTATATCTACAAATTGTTGAAATGATATCTTCTCCCCAATGCAAAATGAACCATCTGGACGGTTTATAAAATCTGAAAATGAATCTAAAACCTCTTTGGGATAATTCCAATACACATTAACAAAGTATGGTAGTCCGGCAGACGCCATTTATACCTGTTAAAAATAAAATCACGAATTCTTTTATCAAACCCTAATACTCATAATCCATCAATAACATATAATTCACTTTCAACCAAAAAAACCATAAAAAAAAATCATTCTCAATCAAATAATCACCTTATCGAACAATAACATATAAATCATCTATAATTTCGATAAATTGAAACCCTAATTTCAAAAAACCCTAACCACAACAACAACCAAACAATTACACAATTGACAATTAACACATAATATTTCAATATCCAATTCAACATACACACATAATCATTAATCAATTAGCAATTTCAAGTTTCAAACACCAACACATTCAAACATATTATAACAATTATCAATCTCCAAATAACTCCAAACAAATATAAAAAGTTAAGATAAACCAATATACCTCGTGCGAATGAATTAACCGGAAATAAGGCTCGTGTCGTTGTTGTCGGTTCACGTTAGAGTGAAGATTGGATCGAGTTTTTTTTTTTTCTCAGTATTTTCGCTCTTCTCTTTGAATATATGCTCTCTCACTTTGTGCTCCTCTCTGTTGCTCGCTCGCGTAATGAATGGAGAAGAATTTTTTTTTAATATATTTTACATAAAACGTATTTAAGGAATACGTTTTCTGTGTATTTAAATGTAAAACGTATTCCTTGAATACGTTTTGCTTAAATGTATTTTTAAAAAAAAAATAAATTTTTTAAGACGCATTTAGTAAATACGTTTTCTGAAAACGTATTACTCAAATACGGTTTTTATTTATTTTTTTTTATTTAACGAAAATTATTTTGAAAATTGTTTACAATTTTTTTTAATTAAAACATTTAAATGAAAACGTATTCAAGGAATACGTTTTTTTAAATAATTTTTTTTTGAAAAACGTATTCAAGGAATACGTGGTTTTTATGCTTGTCCA